AGAGGGAGAAGCAGGCTTCCCGCTGAGCAGGGAGCCCCATGCGGGGCTCGATCCCAGGACCCTGGGATCATGACCTGAGCCGAAGGCAGATGCTTTATGACCAAGCCACCCAGGCGCCCCTGTAGCCATTTTAAAATCACATTCTATCTTATGATTACTGAAAAATTATATACTCGTGTGAAAGTAACTTAACTTTATGATGCTGAAGATTTTTTTCAAGGAGTATGATATTATGTAACATACTGAGTTTGCTTATTTCTCCTGAAAGTACCTTAGTCAACTTTATAGGAAATTATGTGGATTTTTCTATATTTAAATTCCAGTGTGTTTATTCCAGTCTATAACTGGGTCTAAATCCCTACACTTGATTGTATTGCCTTGCATTTAGAAATTCCTCTAGTTGTGCTGAAAATGAGGTTTATATAGCAGCATGTTCAATAACTATTCATCAACTTTTGTAACTAGAAAACTCATATTGGTTTATATAAAGGAAACCAGCTAGAGACATTTAGCCACAAACCAAATAGCAAGGGTTATATTTATTATTAAAATAAATAAGTTGTTGAACTAAACAGTAGCATTCCAATAATGCAACAATGATGCTATAATTGATTAGAGGAATTCATTAATAATCTGAAATTTAGCTGAGAATACCATGTAATCTAATCTCTCCCTAGTAATACCATTATTTCAGCAGAAAAAAAAAACAGCTTCATTTTGATTACCTAAATCACAGCCGATAGAAAATCCCCTCAGAGTGATAAATCTTATTGCTCTTTTAAATTGTTTACCATCTTTAGTAGAAAAATATTTGACACGTATCAACTCGTATTCCTCCCCCCCAGTATTACCATGCATTTCTTCTTAAATTACTTATACTAGTAAAGTTAAAGTCCCCTTCCAAATTCATATCAATCTTGGGATTCAGGGGTATCTCAAAGACTCCACTTTGCCTTAATGTTAATTGAGAAAGTAGGTATTTACACTTATTTCCTAAAGTTAAAGCACAAGCTGTGATTGCAGCAATAAACACAGAGTCTCTCTGTATTCATTTATCAGTCAAAAAAATCTTATCACTTAGTTTCATTTCTTTTTAGTGTGGAGCCAGTTTCCATGTTAGAATGCTCATTAATATTTAATATCTTATGGAAATATATTTGTTTATGGCAATCATTCATTTCCATTTTCATTGTTGCAAAATGTTTACCAGTTTATGGCATGAGATATTACTTGCGTTTCCATATTTGGGTTGTCAGAAATTCTCCCAATCAGACATAATCATAAACAACCACCTTGATTTCACAATTATCTCATTTGTTCTGAGTGGTAGCAAGGGGCAGGAGTTAAAATCTTTCACACATTACTGTAGCCTAAAATTGGTAGATTCTCTAAGGTGACTTGAGAGGAATTAACCCTAGTTTTCACCTTTCTAGAAAAATACTAGATTGCCCTGACAAATGTTAAATTGCCTCAAAATTAGATCTATAGGAATAATTTTCCATTTTACCCACAAACAACAATAACAACAACAACAAGAACAACAAAATAACATTAAAAACATCTCACCTGTTTTCATTAAGATGTTTCATAAGGTATTTGTCACTAAGAATGACATTACAACATTCAAAAGTTGACTATTTAGTTTCTCAGATTCCTCTTGATGAAACTCTTAGGAAGGAAGAAAGGAATTAACATTCATTAGCATCTGCATTGTGCCAAGCAGTGTGCTAGATATATTTGATCATTTGATGAGAGGCATGTAACAAGGGGTTTAACATCACAGGCATGAGTTTGTATCCTTCCTTGCACTTATACCTGCTAGGTGTGACCTTGAGTGGGTCAGTCGTTCTGTGCTTCACATTTCTCACTGGCAAAATGAGTGAAATTCTAGAATTTATCTCATAGGGTTGTTTTGAGTGATAAACTAAGTTAATGTAAGTAAAGCACTTGGAGTGCTGTTTGGCATGGAATAGGCACTTAACATTAAACATTGGCATTATCTTCATCAAATCTTATGAAGTGAGATGCCATTATCCCTATTTTGCTGATGAGGAAACTAAGTCCCAAAAAGTTGGAGCTATTTATGTAGAAGCAACACAGGAAGTCATACTTTAGAATAAAGAGCTTTTATCACTAAATTATGTTTTGATTTTTTTTCCATTCTAAGCACATACTGATAGTTTCCCCTCTGCATATTAACTGAAAAAAAACCCAAACAGATCTTGTAGCTGTTCATGTTCCTTAGACTAGATACAGTAGTTACTTTAAATCTGATAATTGCAAATCAGAAGTGGCAGCACATAATGTAAGTCCTCAGTTTAGATTGTGTGTGTGTGTGTGTGTGTGTTTAAGGGGTGGGCACAGAGGAGTTTTGTTTTAAAACTTATATATGAGGAATAAGAATTTTATTGCACCTTCGAATCACAGCCACAGAAGAGAGCCCAATTAAAACTATGATCCAATGAAAGCTCTTTGTAGCTCGACTGAAGATAAGACAAAAATTTACAAGGGCAAAATTAAATAAACTAGATGATTGTTCAGGTTATATGCAATAGTAGCAATTGAATTTTTTTGTAATGATTCCAGGTAAGAGATAGGGCTTTGACTCTTAGGAGTGCATGTAGAAATCTGCCATCACCATAGGATTCACTGGTAAATATACATACAAGATCTGAGGGACATCATAGAAACTTTAGATTCAATTCTTAAAGATTGGTTGTGTATTCCATTTACTTTTGCAGCATGGTTTACCTCTATAATAGACACATATGGGTATATCTTATGTGCTGTTTGCTCTAGAACCTACAGGTAAATGGTAGAAAATTTTTTTAAAAAGACCCTGAATTAAGTAGACTATTGGGGGGGGGTCCAACTTCACTTAATGACTGCATAACCTTAGATCAGGTACTATTTTTGAGACTTAACTCTACATTATTTAAAATTTCATTTATGTTTTTAAAAGTCATGTTAACAGTTATTATTTCAGTTCATTCCCTTAGAAATCCTATGGAATGAGTTGGCAATCACTAGTATTCCTATTTTAAAGCCAAGAAATCTAGATTTCAGAGAAGTGACTTCCATTGAGTCAAACAGAACAGAATAGGTTTGAAACTAATAAAAATAGCTGGTATATACTCAACACAATTCTAAATATCTTATGTCCACTTATTTGATCTTCACAACATCAAACAGATATAGGAGCTATTAATATATCCATTTTACAGATGAGGTGACTGAGGCATTGTAAGGTTAAGCATCTTACCTAAGGTCACAGCTAATAATGGCAGATATGGAATTCAAGCCCAGGCAACCTGATTCTAGTTCCCACACACTTAATTACATGACACACTACCTTTTTAAGGGCAATAAAAATAATAAAACTTGTGGTTCCTGCCTTCACGTTATTTAGACTCTTTTACAAAGATAGTGAAAGTATAAATACGCTTATCATAGGAATGAGTTATGGTTTCTTTGGAAGGAAAAGAATATTGCATGTGGAATGTATATTATTTCAGTACTCCTGAATTTGTCTGTTTCTTACAGTCTTGCTTTATAGGGCCTAGAGGGAGAAAATAGTCTTATCCTATAGCATTTGAGGCTGGAGCTGTTAGGGTTGTGGTGTTGAAATAAATATGTCTGCTGTTTCTGCTCTAAAACTAACCCAGTGTAGGAATATAATAGGGTTAGGAATTTAAATGTCCATAGCACTCAAACTGTAATTTAAAGCCACACACTTCGGACTTTTCTACCACCTATTCTGTAAGCTTCCTGAGAGTTAACTCCTTTGTCACCAAACCCAGCAATGCCTACTGGGCATGCCCAGTGATTTGGTTAGAGCTTCGCCTGGAGTTTCACTTCCTCCAGGTTTTACCAGCTGCAAAAGAAAGGAGGAGACGGAGAGAAGACTTAAACAGGTAGAGAACTTGGTTCAGCTCAGAATGTCCGTGGCCAAGGCAGAGCACGGAAAACTGGGGGAAGACAAGAGGCTGTCGCAGAAAGCACCCTGTCAGACAGACTTGAGTCTGGTCTGCAAGTTGGCGCGTTAGCCCGGTAGGTCCTTCTTACGTCTTCTTGGCACAGCCTAGGCAGATCGTGAAGGTTTGCAGAGATCACTCAGGCTAGGACCACAGTAAGGGGTGGGGCAGGGACGTTGGATCTGGGGGAATGCCAGCGACTGTGTGAATCTTGCCTGTCCCTGCGTTCCTCGAAAAGCTGCAGCTTTTCAAGGGGTCCAAACAGGAGACCAAAGCGCGCAAGTAAAACCTGAGCTCATCTTAATCACTAACTCCTTGCCCCCTTCCTTTTAGCTGCCAAACTCTTCCCTGGCACCCTTTCAGGTACCCTCGCCCAATCACGACTAAATCCCGGAGAAGTGGAATCTCCACACAGGTTTCCGTGGGTCTAGCAGGGGCCTGGGCATGCTCAGTAGGCTACGTGGTTCTCTGGTTCTCTCTGTCTTTCGGGGGAGGGTGGGTGGTGACAAGTTAGAAGCTCTTGCGGCAGGTCCCCGCCTCCAGGATCGGGCTTCCCCTGCAAAGGGACGAAGCAAAGGTATAAACACCTCGCTCCGCAGCATCCCGACCTGGAGGGGCTGTGCCCGCGGGCCGAACCCACCAGTATCCCCGCCTGAGGACGGCCCGCCGCTCTCCATGGTACTGCGGAGAGCTCAGCTCCGCCCTTCTCTTTCAGAAGGACAGCACCCGGCGTCACGTAACCCAGCCTTCTCAGGCTCTACCACCGCCTCCTCCTTCCCAGCTCTTTGCCTCTCTTCCTCCTCCTCCTGCTCCCCTCCGTTGCCTGTTTTCCCCTCCCGCACTCCTGGAGATAGACGCTCAAGCCTGACGCCTCTGAAAAGGCAGCGGCAGTCGCCTTATCCACAGACCTCAGGAAATTCGCTTTGACCGATGCATGCTTCAGGCTCTGGGTCGAGCTAAGGGGAATAACCGGGCAGGTAAAGAAGCTCAATTTGGGTTGGGGGAGGGGATGGGGCGAGGCAACCTGGAGAAGGATATATTTCCCCCTAGTAACTGAGCCAGAATCTGCCACAAATGCACAAGGAAGGATGGGTGGTGGGAGGGTGGAGGAGTATAGATCTTCGTTGTTTTGCTTGAAGATTTTTAAATAGATGGCAAGTAGATGAGATGGTGGAACTGAGGTAGTAACTTAAAGGCTGAATGCAGTGATTTATTAGCAAAAGAAAGAAAACAGAGAAGTTAGAAACCAAAGCAATAAAATATATCTGTATCTACATCTTTATTTCCCTTCCCCATCAGCCCCATGCTGTGCCTATCCTTAATTTGTGCAGTTGACTCCAGGCTCCAAGAAACTGCACTGGTATTAGAGATGGAGCTTAGAGACTGGGCGGGAAAGCCAGGGAGAATTTGGGTGTGCATTGGTATTGAGGGACTTTGCAAAAGCGAGGGGGGAAAAGCACTTCTCAAAATTATCCCAAAGATTTCAGGTTCTTTGCAATGGTATATATTGAAGGATGCATGGAAAGATATGTGTGCATATGTGTATGTGTGTTATAAACATATTAAAATAAATGCAACTGCAGCGGATCAGCATACTGTATCGATCCTTCCAGTGGCTTGGGAATGAATTTGATTCTAGAAATGAAAGAAAAGATTAATGAGGCTGTTAGTCTGCTTTTGAATTAGAGCGCTTCTTCCTTTGGCTGCAGTAAGGTTGTTTTTCAGATCCTTTTATTTCATCCTCTAATTTGTGAATTCACCAGGTTTTTCCGGCACCTAGAGAGAGAATCCTTTCTCCATATAAATACAGATACTCTCACACACACAATGAGCTTCCTCTAAGAACTGGGAGAGTCAGTTGACCTCCCCTGAATATATATGTGTTCTCCCCACTCTATATCCCTTAAAAAAATTGTCAAGGTATGCATTAGTGGAGGAGGGCAGGAGAGAGGGGTGAAGAAAGGTTTTGTGATCCATGTAATATTAATTAATAAAATAATTAGCTCCAATTGAGACACACACACACACACAAACACACAAAGGTTTTCTAACACATAAGCTTCTGGATGGTTTCAAAGCACTACTCTTGATCTTAAAATTCCAGATTTATTTTGCAAATGACTGAAAAATTGTCAGATGCCCGAGTCCACTTAAAAATGAGAGTATATTGAGAGTTTATTGAATAATACGCTATCTTAGGATGATTTTTAAGAGCACCTTTCTTGGGCTTGGCACAGAGGTAGACAAGATATGGCTGATGATTGCTGATGGTGTGGAATGTATCAGCCATAATAAATAAGCAACTGAGATTTTTATTTCTGTTTTATTTCTACTGGGCAATGTGTATGCATGTGTATGTGTTGTGTTGTGTGTGTGTTGAAAAAGAGAGAAGCAGTCATCAATTTCATCTGGGGAGGAACTTGAAGTGGGATCCCCTAGCTTGGTGGTGGCTCTCAGCTGACACCTGTAGGGATTGCTCTGTACTGAAGAGAAATGCTCTCAGCTCCCTCCATGGAGGAGGAGCAGCACAATGCGGTGCCATAAATTACTGCTAGTTTCAGCTTGTAGGGGAAAAAAAAAGTGTTAATTGGATAGTGAGCTTCTGTGTCCAGGCAATAAATGTGTGTGCATGTTGTGTATGTGCGTGCAGGGGAGGGGGATGTGGTATGGTGGGAAATGCTGAGGGAAATGCATGTGTTTGCTTGACATGACCAGATGAACCATTTGTGATTTTTTTTTTTTTTTTGGTCAAAATGTGAGAGTAATGTTTTTGGTAAAAAAACAAACAAACAAACAAAAAAACAACTTAAAAACAACTCACTACTTATGATTTCTGTACTATTTCAGGAACCTGCCAGATTAGGGTTAAATAAAGAGGTGATTTTATAGTGAGTGATTCAAAGATATGATTTTATATTCTAGCATTCTGGAATCTTAGCAGCTAAGGTGACACACATGCCAACTGCTGTTCTGACCACACAAATTCTAAGAGCTGACATCCAGATAAAGGACTTGAAGAGGAGTTAAGATCATTACACTGTTTGGCAAAATATCAAATACTTTACCCATCTTTAGAGGAATTAATATTATGGCAATTGAGACATAAATGCTGCCCCAAATAGATAGGACTCCAGTTAGATGTCTTCTCCTATAACAGATTATTCCTTTAATAAAAGGAGGAAAATACTTGTTTGAAATTTAAAAGAGGTTCCCAAGAAACTATCGATATTTTTTCTCTGAAAACCATAAAATGGTAAGAATGCTAGACAAATCCAAGCCAGCAGCTTCCAGTCACAGTTTGATCTGCTTTGCCTGTTTTAAAATCTGTATTAACTGGGCTCCATAGCTCAGGGGTTAGAGCACTGGTCTTGTAAAATCTGTATTAACTGAGATTTGACTAGGTTGTATTTTTATTGTCCATGTTATCAGTACACATGATAAGTAGAAGTCCTTAAAAGGGCCTTTTTCCTCCACTTTTCATATTTTAAAAAATTAAACTTTCTCAGAAAAAGTAAAAGATAACCATAAGCATATCTCTATAAAATTCTGAGAGGGCTACCTATTAACAGTTATAATAAACTTCAAGGGTGTAATGACTGATTGTAAAAGTGCAATATTAACTATTAGGAGATATTAGGTCTTCCTTGATAGATCAGGATAAATAAGCCCTTTCCAGTAAGGTTAACTCTGGCTTCCTAACAGCTCTAGTTATGCACCTGGTTTCTGAGCTGAATAATGATTTATATGATACTATAAATGATTTTAGAACTTAATTTTTATTTTAATTCTCTGCAGATTTTCTGGGTCCTTATAAAAAGACAAAACCAAAATGCATCACCAACACACAACCAATTGATATGCTGGCATCTTAGCTTGGCCTTGCAGAGGGAGAGAGGAAAGAAGAGGAGCTGTTGTGACATCTAACAGCTTCTGGCTATTCCACAGCTTCTGGGTTCGAACCCTACTGTTGGGGAGGGGAAAAAGAGAAGTAAAATCCATCCTGTGAGGCCATGCATAAGGAATTCTGCGTTGGCTACAGTGGTTCAGGAAGTCCATGATATGACAAGAAGCAGGCCTTTGAAGCTACTCAGGGGTTAAGTGGTGCCGTAAAGAGGCAAGGAACCTGTCTCTTCCTTCCGGTTTGGGACACCACATCTGGAGGAGAAACACTTGAGGTATCCAAGGATCCTGGTTCATTGCTGGCTTTCTTGTACTTCCCTGAAAAGTATTCTGAACAGACTCTATCTGCTTCGCTTTTGCCCGGTACCACTGATGGTACCTGGCAGAAAATAGTATTTGAGGAGTGAAGCATCTCTTGACACCACTGATGCCCTTGAACTAGGTCATCGGACTCAAATGGATAAGTGACTTCCCTTGACCTTCTGTTAACGCCTTTTCCAGAACGTTGCTTCCAAAGTGTATCCTCCCTTTGGTCTGGAAGATCTGCTGCTGCCCTGTACCACTGGGGTCTACGTTTTCCAGTTGGGAGGGGACTATCGGGAGAGAGGGAGGGGTTGCTGGAAGAAGAAGAAGAAAAAAAGAGCTAGATAAAGGAGGGTGCATCCCTCCCCCTCCTGCCCATCCCTTTACCCTACTTGTTTCCGGACCCTTATTTCTACACCACGGTGTCCAGGACCATTTTGACCCTGTCGGCCCCGGCACCCCCCCGCCGCACCCCAGCCCCGAGCATGGGGACGGCGCTTCTCCAGCGCGGGGGCTGCTTTCTCCTGTGCCTCTCGCTGCTGCTCCTGGGCTGCTGGGCAGAGCTGGGCAGCGGGCTGGAGTTCCCGGGCGCTGAGGGCCAGTGGACGCGCTTCCCCAAGTGGAACGCCTGCTGCGAGAGCGAGATGAGCTTCCAGCTCAAGACGCGCAGCGCCCGCGGCCTAGTGCTCTACTTCGACGACGAGGGCTTCTGCGACTTCCTGGAGCTCATTCTGACGCGCGGCGGCCGCCTGCAGCTCAGCTTCTCCATCTTCTGCGCGGAGCCCGCCACGCTCCTGGCTGACACGCCGGTCAACGACGGCGCATGGCACAACGTGCGTATCCGCCGGCAGTTCCGCAACACCACGCTCTTCATCGACCAGGTGGAGGCCAAGTGGGTGGAGGTCAAGTCGAAGCGCAGGGACATGACGGTGTTCAGCGGCCTCTTCGTGGGGGGGCTGCCCCCGGAACTGCGCGCTGCGGCGCTCAAGCTGACGCTGGCCTCTGTGAGGGAGCGAGAGCCCTTTAAAGGGTGGATTCGCGACGTGAGGGTCAACTCCTCCCACGCCCTGCCTGTGGACAGCGGCGAGGTGAAGCTGGACGACGAGCAGCCCAATAGCGGTGGGGGGAGCCCGTGCGAGGCGGGTGAGGAGGGCGAGGGCGGGGTGTGCCTCAACGGAGGCGTGTGCTCCGTGGTGGACGACCAGGCGGTGTGCGACTGCTCGCGAACCGGCTTCCGCGGCAAGGACTGCAGCCAAGGTAAGGCCCGACGCCTGACTCACCGGGCGCCTCGGCCTGGGCAGGGCGCGGGGAGGCAGGGCGAGGCAGGCGGGGCCGGCTGGTGCATGGGGTCTTCCTTCTCTGGACAGTGTGTTTCAGCCAGTTTCAAGGGGAAGACCTGTTTGTGGCGTCTCTGCCTTATCACCTCCCACAGCTCCTCTTCATGGTTGGGCAGCACCATTTCCAGGTTCAGTTTTCTCCTGGGAACCCTTGGTGCCAACTCCGCTTACTTCCAAGTGGCGAGTAGAATGACCTCTCCTCTTCAGATTCCTCGGGTTCTTTGTCAGGCTGCTCCCTAACTTCATTGGGCCATGGCCCGCCTGAATAACCGCTGTGCTTTCCTCTACCACCTCTAAGTCTGTAAAATACACAGATGTTTCCCCTAAGATGCAGACAAGCATCTAGAAGATTGGGCACGCATTTGGTGAAGAAGGAAGTGCGGGAGAGGTTCGCTATGGTTGAGAATCTCCACGTTTGTTATTCGTGGTAAAGGACAGAAGGGGAACAGGATTCATAGGAACTGCTTTGCCTTTTATAAATAAAGTATAAAGTCCTGCTCCTGGTTGTGGAAAAAGGGGGCCATGGGATTAGAAGGAGAAGGGTTCTTGGAATTAATGTTATTTTCTGTGGTTATGTCCAAGTCCAACATTTGTCAGTTTAGGAAAAATTATGTGATTTTTCTGTGATTTCTTGAAGTGGAAGACAGGTCAGCTAATATTTAGAAATGTTAGAGATTAAATAACATATTTCTTAATTAGCAAATGTCTTGGGAAGATAAAGAACACAGAAATTTAGACGTTGTTGGACTGGGAATCTTCTGTAGGCTAATAAACAGGGGATGCATATGAAGGATTGCAAGAGATTTTTCTGAGTACATTTAGCTAATGATATTTATCTGAGTAGTGGAGGCTAACCTGTAATTTCTGTTGTTTTTAAGGATTGAAAGTGTGGAATGAAAAAAAAATCATACCTAAGTTTTATTTTCTCCCCTTAATAAATAAAATTCAGTGATTCATGTGTCTCCAATATTGCTACATGACAATGACCAAGGAAAAATATTGTATAAATACCGAAAAGCCTATGAGCAGAAAGTGACTGATATGAAAAAGATGAGGCATGGATCTGTGGCTGAGCGGAGAGGTGTCAGGGTTTAAAGTAGATAGCGTATGGGTCAAATCAAGACAGCACAGGATAAATGACATTTACAGCTGCAAATATTTTTTAAAAGATGAATTATTAAATCTGATTTTGAAAGCTGTGAGGACAAAAGCTCAATGTGTGGCTGAATTTTATTGTATAATGTCTCCTTTTTTTTTTTTTTTTTGCTGACACTGCTGAGAGGAACTAGCCCTTGTAAATCTTATTAGACTTGGCAGTTCTCTCTCATCTGACTTGAAGAGAAATGAAGACTTGATAAAATTTGTAATTGTTTAAATAGCAAAGGGAGTTTGTTAGGAAGAAAAAAGCTGGTCAGAGGGAAAGAAGAGTTCTGTAGCCTTTATGGGTTTATGGAAAAAAAGTAAAGGGTTATTTTATTATTCTCTCCCTTCATAAGGTTTTTGTTTTCATTATGTTTTGGCTTAAGTAATTATAGAAGACTGTCTTCCATGGCCTGTACTACACTTCAGCTTGGCCAGTAAATTTCCATGGATTTAGTACCAGGCTTTATAGTTAGGTTTTACCAGAATAAAACAGGACATGTTTTTCCTCTCCCATATCTAATTTAATTGTAAATCTTGAATGAAATATCAGGTACATATGATGATTTGCTATATTATAATTTGGAGCTCCATACCTCTGCACTGATTAATAGAAATACATTTTTAAAAATGAACATTATTTTATGGGAAAAATTGCTCTACGTATCCCAATGCCACTTTAAAATACAGAGCAGACAATTTATTGAAGGACACATGAGATATAACTTCCTTCCTTAAATTAGGAAACAAATATGACACAATGACAGCTTGTTCTGTGTGGGAGGGTGTTTTAAATTAAAATTTTTATTTTCTTGTGCATTTTAAATGTAGGGATCCAGGGATCATGCATAATCAGGAACACTTAAGAGTGGAGAAAGCATGGCAAAAGTAATATGTTGCAGAGAAGCAGAATTAGATGTTTCTGAAATGCATTTTATTTTGCCAGTGGATAGGCTCTTTCCATAAGAGGAAGAATTTGGAATTACCAAGATACATAATTGAACAATATAGTACCTGATGCTTAAGGTAATTCAATTCAGAAAAGAAAATCCATCAGGATGGTTCTGGAGCATTGATTCGTTTTGAAAATTTGATCTGAAAATGAAGTGCAAAGATCATCACTAGTCATGAAAGGAAAACAAAAGGCTGGATTCTTTTGATTATCACAGAAATGGGAGATGGAGTGATAAAGGCAGAGTCGATCTGCCCAGAAGGATGGGCTCCAGTTTCTGTATTTTCTCTATTTCATATGTGTCAAGTGACTGTTAAATAATTGAGAATGGATGCCTCTCCCAACACCAATCATGTATTGATGGCCCGGGATAGATGGTTTCTATTCAGATGAAGTATGAGCAGAGCCCTGCCTCTAGCCAGTATTTACACTGAATGTCACATTCTTTTTAAAAACTAATTTAAAAACAAATCCACATTCATTAGAGAAAATTTAGGAAAAAAAATTAACAGCAAACATTAAACAAGATTCAAATTACATCTAGTTCTAACCACAATTTCTTTTTTAACTTAATAAAGTCTAATATTATTTAGTTGCCTTCATATTAAAAATACAGTAAGAACTACTAAAAAAGACAATAATCATATTCTTTCTCTATTTATTTTTCTGGCCCAGAATGTCTTGCAACAACTTCTGCATCTATGGTTTTCTAGAATATTTTTATTTAATGAGCTCAGTTTCATCCTTACTGTAATTTATTCAAGCCTAGCAAGTTTTATTTATTTATTTATTTGTTTGTTTATTTATGTAGTGATGGCAGTAGAACACAAGAAAGGTTATGTGTCATGACCAGGTTAGTGGCAGAGCTCACACAAAAGTGCAGGCACTCTCATTCTCGAGCCCTGTATTATCTTTTCCCGCTGAATAAGATTTCCATTTTACGAGTATGGATATTTTTTCAGGTTCAGGCATTATTCAAGAGAAAAAAATTATGTATAAATGGCTGATGGAATAGGACTAACCTATGTATCACTTAAGTTCTTTGACCCTGAAAATGAGCCTCAGAACTTCAGTATCCAAGAATGTCATCTTTCCTGAATGATGGATGCTTATGAGGTACATAGCTTTTTCAGTGAATCATACTCATCTAAGTGCCCCAGGACCATTATTATTTAATAAGTTTCTACTGAAGAGGACTAATAGTTTCTTAGCAGCTTAAAAGAATTAGTGAATTCCATGGCTGTCCAGCTTAAAAATGAGAATAAAAGGCTGATCAATGAGAAGGGAAGTTATACTTTTAAAAATGATATCCAGGTTTCATGCATTTTAGGGTCACTTATATTAAAATTTCATACTAGACTCTGGAGTGCCACTTTTATTTACTTTCTCTATGTAAATGGCCATAAACACATACCCTTACAATGGCTAATTACTAAATATTACTAAACATGGTAGTGTGATAGATGTCACTTAACAAAGCCCATGCTTTCTATGACTTTACTAATGTGACCAGATAAAGAACCATATTCACTTAGTCATTTCTACATTTATTTTTTATTCAACAAATACTGATTGAATGCTTTGTATGTGTCCGAGTAGCAGGCTCAGGTAAAAAAAATGGTGAGTAAACTCTCAGAAAGAGTTCCTACCTTGCTAGACCTTGCATTCCAATGAGGAGACATAGTTATTTAAAAATAAATGGAAACTTAAAATGGTGGTATGTATTCTGAAGGACAGATACATGGTATTGTGAGAACTTAAAATAGTGTGAACTAACCTAATCAAAAAAGGTTTCCCTGAAGATTGAGGTTTAAAATCTGAGAGATGAGGAGTTAACCATGTAAATGCAGAGGAGAAATACTAGGTACAAAAGCCTGGTGTAGGAGTGTCCTGGCATATTCAAGCAACTGAGAGAAGACCCTTGAGTATGGAGCTCATAGAGGAGTAGGGCCAGGTCTTTTGGGGCCTTCTAGACCATATCAAGGATTTGAATCTTTATGGTAAAAGTGATGGAAAAATAATGGAAGGAGTTTAGTGTGGAAGGCGGGGAGGAGGGAGCCATTATCAAATTTATATTTCAAAAATGTCACTCTGGCTACTGTGTAGGGAACACATTGATAGGGGGCCAGAGTAAAAGAGAAAACATTAATTTCTGTCAGTCAACAGAATTAGTTTAAGCACCCACTGTAAGCTGTAGACTGAACGAGGGGAACATAGCGAAAAACAAGATTCTTTAAGGAACTTAGAATCTTTGTGAGGTTGGTTATATATAGAAATCTAAGGCCATTCATTGTTAGGAACACTTGGTTCCATCTGTAAAATGTATCAGAACCCTTTCTGTGGATTATCATGTGGTTTCCTCAGATAAGCCTAGCAAATCTATAGGCTTCTTGAGCCCATTGGCAATGAATGTCATTCTATGTTGTATCCTTCAAGAACCTTGCTCAACATGCCTTTCTTGTGACAGTATATATTGGTTGATTGAGTCTAGGCTTTCGATATTTTAACTGCTGCAATAAAGAAAAATATTACGTAGGTACTTAATTTTTTATTCTATTTGATAATTTTTATTAAGAAAGCCTTTAACACAAAAGCATTTGTAAAAACTATCACCCTCCATATAAACTAATACATGTATTCATCTCAATCCTATACTTAAATAGTGATGCTTACTGTATTTATTCCAGTGTGTAGATAGAGATATCTAATGGACCTGTCCTATTTATGATTTGTCTTTGAGGCTCTCCTATAAGTTAAAGTTATTTACATGTATCTGCAGAGAAGCTAGGTAAAAATTCGAGCTTTAAAAGCTTAAGACATTCCTATAG